CCCCCCCCTCTTGTGCAGAACACAAAGCATGCTCATCAGGAATGTATGTAAGCTATCTTTCTGGTCCGATACAGTCATGATGAGGTGTTCATTCATCTCCATCTGGTATGTTGTATGAACATTGTGAAGTCAATTCACTAAACTTTAGTTTTTTTGTTTTTTCTCTCTCTGTCGCTTTCGTTGTTTTGACATTTGGCCCAAGTGACCACAGATCAGATATGATCAGAACAGATTACTTAGTACACTTCATCCATTTTTACTATGTTTTTAGGCCAAAGGGCTCCGGAAGGTACACACTATGTTTTTTGGATGTATTGAGCTGCAAGTACGGCCAGTCCTGGACATACGCATCTGACCGAAATTATGTCCAGATTTCCATCGACTAAGCCAACCTTGTGTATGTTGTTGTCAGACATTCTGCATATTAAGAACTAACTAAGCTTAGATGTGCATATTTACCACATGAACTTGTGTCCAGAATTCGGTCGTCTAAACCATAAATGGAAAGAGAAACGAGGGAAAAGAGTTCAAAGAGGGGCTGATGGCCAGTAACAGTGGATGGAATTTGAGTAGGGGTGTGCAAGTTTACCGCGTGAAACACATCGTCCCCGGTCGCTCTGGCGAATCCAACCATACTCCCACTCCTCTCATCGCATATCCAAAACAGCTAGGTACAACGTACAACAGTCCACGTCATCAGAAATGGATAAGAGAGCGAAGTTCAAACAGACAAAAAAAAAGAAGAAAATTCAAAAGCATTAACCAAGCCAGGTGGGTGCATGCCAAGAAGGGGGTGAAGAGTGCAACAAAGACCAAGTTGCAAAAAAGCCAGCAGGGGCAAGCGCAACAAGGGCACGTCTGACCGATCTGGCTGATCAAGAGACATTTTAAGGACAGCCCCCAAGGTCCTCAAGAATTCTCTCACGTCGCAGACAGGATGACGATCACAGTCAGTATTTAGATCAGATCCCTGCCAGAAATATTTAAAGACGGTCTGGTACGCGTCTGCAAAGGACTGGTCAGTCAACCTTTCCTCTACTGACGCAGCAAAGATGTTGCATACCGTATAGGTGCAGACCAGAACAAGAACCAACCTTTCAATACAAAGTATAAGATAGCACAGCGGAAGACTTAGATACCAATGATCCGAACAATCAATATTGTAATGCAGCCCCGAACATACATCATCATCATCATGGTGTGAAGGGGTCTGGCGCTTCACACAAGAAGACTGCGCCAGCCCCAACCATACACAGACGAAGGAGGTGGGGTTAGACGAAGAAGAAGGGAAGATGGGAATGTCGTCAACACCAAGTGTTCAGCACAGGCCCAAATAGTCCCTCGTCAACATGTCTGAATCCCGATGTCGAGTCTGGATCCAATGTCGTCAAGTCTCATGTCACAACGCTCTCTCTCTCTGTAGTAGTCCGCTGATACTGAGAAGTCAGGTGGTGAGAGGGGAAGAAGAGATGGTGGACTTAGAAGAAGAGGAAGAAGAACTCTCTCTCTCTCTCTCTCTCTCCAGTACCTGTCTCTTATACACATCTAGATGTGTATAAGACTAAGACTACTGCCTAGCGCTGAAGACTACTGCAGCGCTCCTCCTGAGTGCTGCGGCCGAAATCTGAAGACTACCGTCCTACTCTCCAACTGCCTACCCGTTCAGTGCCTGAAGCTCCTATGTACTATCACGGGCGCCTCCTGACTCGGGCGAGCAGTCCAGGAGGCTGCTCTTGCCAATAATGCAGAAGGGAGGCAGGGGCTGCAGCTGCAGCTCCTGCTCGTGCTCTTGCCAATAATGCCGAAGGGAGGCAGGGCCTGCAGCTGCAGCTCCTGCTTGTGCTCTTGCCAATAATGCCGCAGGGAGGCAGGGGCTGCAGCTGCAGCTCCTGCTCGAGCTGGCGTGGGAACAGGCCATAGATAGCCTGTTCCGAAACCCAGTTTTCGTGCCTGAATCTTAGGGCAGGTCGAAACAAATGAGGGCCTAAAAATAGCCCAGGGCCTAAGAATAGCCCTCCSTTTCAGGCTGGAAAAACTCTGGGTCTGAAAGACCCAGAAATAGGCTGAAACGGAGTAGGGCCTGCAGRCCCTCGTTTTTCAGTTTTCAGGCTGAAACGACCGGGGCCTGTAGCTCCTAAGTTTTAGGCTTTTAGGCTGAATGTCCGAGACGGGTCCTACAGGGCCCGTGTGGCTACGCAGTCTGCCACACCCCCCCCTCCTTGAAAGACCAAGCTTACCTGCGAGGGCGAAGCTGTCTGTCTGAGGGAGGAACCACAGTCCGGGTGGGAGGGGCAGGTCGTGGAGGTCCCTTGGCTAACCTTTGACGTTCATAGTGAGCGTAGATCAGCGGTGCGGATGCTTTCAAATCTGCTCCTGAACTCCACCGAGTGTCGTCGCGATCGCATGCTTTGAATGTGACTTTGTACTGTCGCGGCTTGCTGCCGTACTTGCGATCGGTGATGACGCGGTCAACTTCCTGATGGCCATCCATAGAAGGAGGGTCCTGCGATCGTCGGCCCGGAAAGTCGTCGCTCTTGGCTGGCGTGTATGTTGCCAGCTTCGAGGCGTGGAAGACCGAATGGACCGTCAGATGCTCTGGAATGTTGATCACAAATGAAGGGCCATCGGGCTCATCGCCCGCGGCTGCTGTCACAGACCAAGGTCCAAACCACTTGGGAAGTTGTTTGCGTGAAACGTCCTGTTCCAATGCAAACTCTTCCGCGGAGACCCAAACCAGATCACCGGTGCGGATGGGACATGGTACGCGACGCCTGTTGGCTTGCTGCTGCATGCGAACTTGAGCCTTTTGCATATTTGCGCGGGCTTGAGTCAGCAAGTCCCTGTACTTCCGAACGGAAGCGGGGGAGCAAGCGGCGTCAATGTCGGCTGGTCGAGGGAGGAGAAGGTCGGCGAAGATGCGGCCTTTTCGTCCACCGTGGTGCAACTCGAATGGAGTCACGCCGATCGCCGGGTGCACCGAAGTGTTGTAGGCGAACTCGATGTCGGGGAGGCGGTCAACCCAATCTTTCTGGTACGGACGAATGAGCGTACGAAGCATCATTTGAGCGGTTTGATGTGCCCGCTCCGTCTGCCCATCTGTCTGAGGATGTCGAGCCGAACTTGGTTTCATTGTTGTGCCAGACTCCTGCATGAGAGCAGTCCAAAATGCCGACATGAAACGAGTGTCGCGGTCGCTGACAATGTCTTCTGGTACACCGTGGCCACAAATCCAAGCAGTGTGCAGGAGGCGTGGCAGCTCGGGAGCTGTGGAGTAGAACTTGCAAAGGAGAAAACGCGCGTACTTACTCAATCGGTCCACAACCGTGAGGATGCTGTCGTGCCCGAGCCGGTTGTGAGGAAACGCACCGGTGACGTCCATGGCAATGGAGAGACCGGGTTGCTGTGGGATAGGCATCGGGTGTAACTCGCCGTAGGGATTGCGGTTGCGGGGCTTGCTGCGTCGGCAAACTTCGCAAGAGTCGCAATACCGAGTGACATCGGTAATGAGGTCGGGCCATCGGAATCGCTGTCGAAGCCGTGCAATAGTGCGGTTGACTCCGAAATGGCCGGCGAGTCGTGAATCATGATACTCGCCAAGGAGGCGAGTCCGAAGACGACGGTCGCGTGGGACATATAGTAAGTCCTTGCCTCTCGAGTGGAGGAGCAAGTACCTGTCGGCAATGCGGTAATGGCTGGCCGGCGGGTGATCCGAAGATAGCTGTGCATAGAGCGTGCCGAAGTCCGGATCAGACTGATATGCCCGGATGAAGTGTCGCTGAACCTCCTCGTCGAATGCGAAGGCATGATGTGTCATAGCGCAAAGATCGGGTCTCCGCGAGAGTGCATCTGCTGTGCGATTTGAGAGGGCGGGCAGATGTTTCGGTGTGAAGTCAAATTGGTCGATGAAGTACATCCATCGTTCGATCGTGCTGCTCACCGTACCCTGCGTCGTGTAGTAAGTCAATGGATTTTTCTCCGTGACCCAAGTGAACCTATGATGCCCAAGGAGGAAGTGCCGCCATTGTTTGAGAGTAATGACGAATGTGAGTAGTTTTTATTTGCATCATCAAGCGAGTTGATGGGAGGCACTTTGTGGCTGAAATACTCCATAGGGTGCCAGTCCTCGTCGTCGTGCTCTTCCAAGACTACCCCAATGTCATAGCCGGAAGCGTCCGTAGTCACTCGCGTCGGCAGGGTGGGGTCATAGATGCTAAGGACGGGTGCCATGAGCATAGCCGTCTTAAGTGCTTGGAATGACCGGCGTGCGGCGTCATCGAATAYGAATGGCACCTTTGGCGACAGTAACCTCGTCATAGGTGCAGCAATCCTGGAGTATCCGGTGATGAATCGCTGATAGTAGCCCGCCAATCCCATGAATGAACGAACGTCCGTGGTGTTGGTGGGCTCGGGCCATACTCGTAGGGCCTCGATCTTGTCCGCAAGCGGATGGATGCCTTGCGGCGTCACATAGTGTCCCAAGTATTCCAGCTCCTACTGTGCGAACTCACACTTGTCGCGGTTTGCTTTGTACTTGGCTTGTCGTAGCCGCTCCAAAACGGTGCGCAGGTGTTCCACATGCTCGTCCAAACTCCGACTATACACCAAGATGTCGTCGAGGTAGATGAGTACAAACCGATCCAGCATGTGTCGGAACTCCGTTGTCATAGCCGCTTGGAAAGTGGCTGGGGCATTCTTAAGGCCAAACGGCATGACCGGCCATTCGAAATGCCCATACCGTGTCTTAAACGTGGTCTTGTAGCGATCCTCCTTGCGAATCTCGAGTTGGTGGTACCCTGACTTGAGATCCAGCTTAGAGAAGAACTGGGCGCCGCCCAATCGCTCGAGAAAGTCGTCGATGCATGGGAGAGGGCCGGCGTTCCTGATCGTCTGCGCGTTGAGCTTGCGATAATCGATGCACAACCGCAGGTCCTTATTCTTCTTCCGGACGAAGAGGACAGGAGCACCGTATGGCGATGAGCTAGGCCGAATCCAGCCTTTCTCTAGAAGATCGTCGAGTTGTGCACAGAGCACACTTAACTCTTCCTCGCTCATTCGGTACATGCAGCCGCGGGGAGGTACGGCCCCGTCCTCGAGGATGATCTCGTGGCGGATGGGCCGATCCGGTACTACTCCGTGCGGGCCTTCAAACACGTCGCTGTAGGCGTCGAGAAGTTCGGTGATGCATGGATCTGAAGATGAGTCCGTCGATGAAGCGTCTCGGGGCGGGAGGGCGTGGAGAAAACACCCCCCCATCTCCTTGATGTCGTTTCTGATGATGGATGCTCGCATGCTTGCGGCGGATACCACGTGGCAGCTGATCGAAGGATGAGGAAGAGGTACCGTGCATGGAACTAATATTCCGTTCCGATCACAAATGTGAACGGTGCGGTGGAAGAAGTTCACCGGGTGATCCTCGCTTCGCAGCCATGACATGCCCAAGATCATGTCAAATTTGATGTCCAGAATATCAAAGGACACCGCCTCACTTGCGTGAGGGGCAAAGTACACGGGGACGGCGTCAATGCACTGGTCGATGGACTTGTGCGTACGATCGTCTGCCAAAGTGACTTGCGTAGGCTGGGACTTCCTCCGGACACGTGGGCCAAGGCCGGCGCGCACCATGAAGTCCTGGCTGATGTAGTTGCGAGATGCTCCGCAATCGATCAAAGCGTTGCAGGTTGCCTCTCCGATCTGAATGCGTACATATAGCAATGGTGCGTCCATGTCGTCGTACCGTTGCGTCTTGAACTCGCGGTCGATCTTCGCAATGTAAGTGTGAAGGTCGACAACCTCTACTCCGGCGTCCATCAAGGGAGTTGGTACTGCAGTGTGCAAGTAATCTCGCAGTTGTGACATGAGCACATTGCAATGCGGTTTCGGCAATCCTCCGGTCTGGGGAACGGGCATCCATTGGAAGTCCGTGAACGTCAGTGGGTCGAGCACCTCAAGTCTTGACCACGACGATGAATCCCCGATGATAGATAGCAGCGAAGCTACCGAATCGGTTGCCGATGGTGATGAAACCGTGCATGAAGTAGATTGTTGCACGTGGAGCGGTTGATCCAGCGGTGGGACCAAGTGGACAGCATAATCCTCGTAAGTGTACCGAGGACTTGCGACATGCGCATCCTCCCCAGATGTGTAGGAGACCGCTAGCAAGGCGGCCGAATCTGGCGGAGTGAGAGGTGGAGTCGCCTCACCTCCTGCGCAACTCAGTTCCCCGAGTTAAGACGAGGCCTCACATCCTCTTTGGCCTGATCTTGGCAAATGGAGGTCTTGTGCTTGGTGTTGTTGCACCAGTAACAGCAGCCGTAACGGTTGCGGTACTTGTACTCGGCCTTGGTCAAGCCGAAGTTGACCCATTGCTGGCTGTCCGTTTCCGGCCTGCGATGCTGGTTTCGCCTTCCCGTTCACTCGGGGCTTGTTGCTTTGCGGCTGGACAGCAGCCACCTGATCTCCCTCACGTGATGCTGGAGTGGCTGCTGGGTCTTCTCCACTGTCCGATTGGACTGCAGCGAACTGCTGCTGTCGCGGACCAGTTCGTACCTTCTCCACATAGGTTGGCTGCCACGTTGACTTCTCGTGTGCGGCCGCCCTGTTGGTCTTGATGATCTCTCTCGCCTTGTTGATGATCTCTGCGAAAGTGCTGTACTGCTCGCGATCACCCAGTGCGAGGCTGAAAGCGGTGCATGACCTGTTGTAGAACTCACGGCGTAGATGCGAAAAAGGCAAGTCCAGATCGGGCGTGGCCACGATCTTCTGCCAATCCGTGAGCCAGTCACGTGTCGGTGTGCTCCCTTGAGCCATCGCGAAGATGCGGTTGATGGCGAGCGCGGGTGCGTCATCCACTATGAACCGCTTCTTCCATTCCTTTGTCATATCCTCCCAGGTGACCTTCTTGTGCAGGTCTGAAACCTGGACGCCGTGGATGGTTGCCATGTGGCTGAGCCAGATCTGACATCCTCCCTTGGTGTTGATGAACAGAGCACTCACCACTAGTGCAAGCACTAGTGGGAGCTAGCGGGAGGGCCAAAAGAAAAATAAAAAGTAAGGAAGACAAGTGCTAGAGGCATGGGAGCAATCCGAAAAATCTCGGATTGACCTCCCCCAAGGAAAATAGAGCTGTGGGGGCGCCATGCAAAAAATACGCCTCCCGGAGAAAATCGGAGTATGGGGGCCTACCGTTTGGAAAAGAGAGGGGCAAACGGTAGCTCCCAAGGACATGGAAGGGCCATAACTGCAGTCCGAAAAATAACGAACTGACCCTTGGGCATAGGAAGGGCCAAAACTAAGAGGAAGAGACAAGAAAAGAGCCTTAACGGCTAGTTGACACTTGGCATGCAAAA